CCCCTCTCTCTCTCTCAACCGCGGCGCGCCCACCGCCACCCCACAGTCCGAGAGGTTCAAGATCCACTTGAACCTCACTAGGGGCCTCGACGCCTACGGCCAGCGTTTGCCCAACCAGCCCGACGCGCGCGGTCAGTTCAGGCACACCTCCAGCGCAGGCGGCGGTGGGTCCAACAGCGGCAGCGGACGGGGACGCGCAAGGGGGAGCGGAGAGGGGAGAGGCCAGTTCGGGCGCGCTGTGGCGTCGGAGTGGGGTAGCGGCGCCGCCGGGGAGTTCGACTCGTCTTCCTCCTCGTCGTCTAGGTGGGTTGTTGGTGTGGTGCGGTGGCGGCGGTGGGCGTGAAGATGTCCAGGCGGGTTTATGTGAGGCGTTCTGTGCGTGCCAACGGCTGGACCAATCGCGTCATACATGCTCCGACAGGGAGGGCGTGGCGTGTTTGTGGTAACGCAGCAGCAGCAGCAGCAGCAGCAGTATTTTCATCAGGCATGTGTGGGGAAAGATGGGAGGGGCCTCCGTGAGACCTGGGAGGGGGGGGTGTAACGTCCCGTTTTCCAACAAGTAGGGTGTAGATTTTTGTTTTTTTTGTGAGCGAAGGCTGCCATACCATGCCCTTGAAACCAAATGCAATGGCACAAGTTGTGTGTGTGTGCGTGCATGCCTTGCTTGGTCTCGTACGAAATCGGAACCAAAAACGTTTTGGACGTTTTACGAATCCCTGCTCTTTCCCGCCTCGCTCGATACACTTGTAGATCGCCTAGGCAGGCAGGGGGTCGCGCTTCGAAGGAGGGCTTGGGGCCCGGGGGCGGGAGAGGGCAAACCTCCTCTTCCCGTGGCCGTCGACGCGGGGGCGGCGGCGGCGGCGGGGGCGGCGGCGCCAGCGGTACAGCCGGCGGTGGCGGAGGCACCGGCCGAGGTTCCGTCCGCATGGCCGCCGAAAACACGTACGGGTCGTGGCGCGGCACCGATGGCGCCGGTGCCGGCAACAGCGTGGGTCGAAGCGGCGGCCGGAGGGAGAGGGACGGCGGCGGCGGCGGGGGGGGGGATAATGATCAGGGGAACAACGACGAGGCGAGGTTTGCGGCGGCCCGGCGACGTGCCTTGCTCGAGAGAGAGGTGGTGAGCTGGGGGCGCGAGCTGCCTCCCGGGGCGCTGGAAACTTTGGCCGCGAGCGCCAGCGCCAGCGTTAGCAGTAGCGGTGGCGGGCGGGGAGCGGGGAGAGGCTTCGGCGGCGGCGGCGGTCTTGGCAGGAGCGAAGGAGAGTGGGGCAGCGGGAGCAATAACGGCGGCGGCGGCGGCGGCGGGCGGGGCGGCCGTAGCAGTGGCCGGTACGAAGGGTGGGGAGGGGACACAGCCGACGGAGCCGGAGCAGGAGGAGGTGCGCGGCAGCGTGACCGGTGGCCGGCCGCGGCGTGCTCCCCTGGGGGAAAGGGCGACAGCGGCGGTGGCGGAGGCGGCGAGCACCGTCAACCCTCCGGTAGCCGCAACCATTCTCTCCCCGCCACCGCCGCCACCGCCGCCGCCGCCGCCGCAGCAGCAGCAACGGCCACCACCACCACGGGCAACGGTAACAGGGAGCAGGGCTCCGGCCAGGGTTTCGGACAGCCATGGAACGGGGGTCACGGCAGCAGCAGCGGAGGCGTCGGTGTCGGTGTCGGTGGCGGTGGCGGCGGCTACGACGAGTTCGGGGCTCACAACTACGGCGTTCGGACGGGATGGGCGGGTGGCAGAGGAACCGGTGGAGGAGGGCTGGGAGAAGGACAGGGCTTCCCGGGTAGCCTCGCGGCGTTCGCTGCGGGCCAGGCCGGCAGCGGCGGGCACGACGCCATCTCTCAGCTGCCGGGTGGCGTGTTCCACGCCGGCTCTACCTCGTCGTCGTTCATGCAGCCGGGTCTCGGCGGCAGCAGGGGACCAGAAAGCAGAGGCCAGGGCGGGGCGCTGTCGCAGCAACAGCTGCAGGGGGGTGGGGGGGGGAGTGGACTCGCGGCAGCTGCTGGCTCTGCGGGACTGGGACAGTTGGACTCGGTGGCGGCCGCGGCGGGGTGGGTCGTGGAGCAGCAGCACCTCGTGGCCAGCGGGGCGCTGCCGACCCCTCGGGAGTGGGGCAGCGACGTCGGCGGCGGCAACGGCAGTGCTGCTGCTGCTGCCGCTGCCGCCCCCGGTCTTTCGGCGGTGGTCTCCGCCGCCGCCGCCGCCGGATTCCCGAGCTTGGGGGGCCAGCAGGCTGCTGCTTCTGCTGCTTCTGCTGCTGCCTCGAACGGTCCCCCGCCGCGCGTCGCTTCGTTCCCTTCGGTGGCCACCCTGGCCGCGGTGGCGGTGGCCGCGGTAGAGGGTACGGCGATCAAGAGGAGAGGCGACGGCGGGGAGCACGTAGGCGGAGGCTGTGGCGGTTTGGCGGCGCCGGGGGCGAAGCGGCTGCGGCCGTCACACCCCGAGAACTCATCCTTTTCCGATGGCGACGGAGACGAGCAGGTTCCGACGATGCAGCACGGTGGGTTGTCCCCTAACCCCCGTGACGGAGAGGCGCCGGCGATCAGCACGGCCTTGTCGTCGTCGCCACCACCACCGACGAGCATCTCTCGTCCTACCGCCTCCGCGCCGCAGCTGCCGCCATTTTCTGGTCAAGCTTCTCCTACGGCGGCGGCCACGGCGGCCGCGGCTGCTGTCGACGACAAACCCGCCGTTGGCGTTGTCTACCCCCCTCCCGAGAATCCTGGCACGACGCTGTTGGCGACGGCGCCCCCCGTGCCAAGCGCTTCAATCTCGCCCGCTGCTTCCGCCGGCGCCGCTGCTGCTGTTGATGCCAAGTTCGCCGCCGCCGACGCCGCCGACGCCGCCAGTGGCAACGGCAACGGCAATGGCAGCGGCAGCACCTCCGGGGAAGTGATGGCGAGTTCGTCTTCTTCGACTCAACCGGCGGCATCGGCCGTGGACGGAGGAGGCGGAGACCTGGGTTCCGGGCGAGCAGCTGCGGCGACTCTCAGCAAACGCTCACCTTCGGCGAAAGGCGCGGGCGCGGCTGCGGCAGGGCTTGGCTCGGTGGGGGAGGCCCCTGCTGTGGTCGGAAGAAGCGGCGGCGGCGATGGTGGTGGTGGTGGTGCTGCCCCGAGTTCCGATTCTGCGGCGCCCCCTCCTCCTTCTTCTTCGGCGGCGGCGGCGGCGGTGGTGGCAGTCGCATCGATGGCACAGCCGAAAGCGGCGGCCATCGCCGAATGAGAGGCGGCGGAGGCGAGTGGTGCTGTATGAAGAAGGACGTGGCGGATGGGATAGAAGGCAGGCGGCGCCTGGTAGCGACGCGGAGGAGGCAGACAGGCAGAGCAGCAGCGGCAGCAATAGCAGCGTGCGGTGCTGTGCGCGCGAACGCGCCCCGTGCCACACACTCCCACCCGACCGGTTGTAGTAATGTCGCGTGTTGGAAAAGGTTGGTAAAATAGGATGCAGGGGATTCTGGGGTTTTGTGCGTGGTAAAGAGGGTCCAGCGAAGAAAGAAAATCAAAGGAGCAAAGTGATTTCATCTGTTGTAGTAGCCAATAGAGGGAAATATTGGTTCTGTTTCGGTTGGTATGCTTCGTGTGAGCCAGCCGCGTGTTTGGTCACGGAGTATGGGTTGCGGAAATATGGTTCGTTGGTTGCGCCCCCCCCCCCCTCCCCCAGTTAGCGGTTTGTCGACATTTTTTCGTTTGTTGGGGCTCAGTGAGAATCACCCGCCCGCATGGGGGGACGGGGGGCGCCAAGCCCTCTCCCGTGATAAAACGGTATCGGGCTGCTGCTCTCACCTGTCTCTGGCTGCGACAGCGATAGATTTGCAGCACACATCCCGCGCCGCCCGTCAGGCTCACTGTGTGGATACGAGCAAAGAATGTTAAGCCGAGTGTTTGTTGCCTATTCCCCACGGTCAGCGTGTTTGTTGCCTATTTCCCACGGTCAGCGTTGGGCAGAGTTGGACGAATGGAAGAAGAGCAACTCCTCTCCACGACTCACCATCACCCTTGTCAATTCTTGTTAGGTTTCTTGTAGCAGTTTTTGGTCGTGTTGTTTTCAGGCCTTTTGTTTTTCTGGTGGCACGCCGGCGGTGCAACGGCAGTGTGTCTCTCTAGCTCGCTCTGATCGCTCTCTCGGTGTCCGGTCTAATCGTATCTTCTTTCTGATTGGTTTGGTTGTTTGGGGGGCGAGATAAAAAATACAGTAAGATTATAGTGTCGATTGTGTAAGACGGAGAAGAATACAGCAGTTTGGTAGTAGAAAATAGTTTCTAGTTTCTAGACGTCGGACAATGCGTTCAAGAGAGGCAGGCCTTCCCTAGGCACCAAGAGGGGGGGCGAAACTGCCTGTTGTGTTTCGCTCCTCTTCCTTCGCCTCCTCCGGATGAGCGAGGCGTTTTTATTTATGTTCTGGACCCACGTTGCGCGGAGAGAGAGAGATAGAAGAGAGGGGGGCAGCGTTGGTAGGTGCTGTCCAAAGGATGCTTTAGTATTCCCGTTTCTCCGAAAGGGGTCATAACCATGACGATTGTTTGCTTGCGGTGGGGAGATTAGACGTGTTTTTTGCCTAAGAGTGAGGGAGTCCGATGCACATCGTCGTCGTCCCATGATACATGTCATGTATGGTAGCAGTTTGCTGCTGTGTATGGGCCCATCGACCGCCCTTCTTTCTAATGTCGACAGATAAAGTACTGGTAGGATAGTTTTGGAGAAGGACTGGAGGTGGAGGCAGATTAATCTAAAATACCGCAACGTGAGTGCTATGATATAGCCCTTTCTTCTTGATGTTGGCTCTCAGCATTTGATAATCAATTGCGTTTGAAGCACGACAATCGAGCGCACGGGAGGTCGAGGTGATCAGGTGACACTATTAGTTGTGGTCGTAAAATCTGGGCTACAAACGAATTCAAATTCGGCACGAAAATGAATGGAGGCGTCTGACCCGATAATATGTTGAGAAATGCATATTGCCGATCACTGTCTTCCTACAACCGTGAATACGAGAGAACACCGGGTAGGAGGAAGAAATTTGAGAGATGCTTGGAACGAGGGCAGTGCCGGTCCGGCCCACTCCGACGCGCGCGTCGGCTCGGTTCGTGGCGGCGACCACCCCCCGCGCGGACTTGCCATGCTTTACCACGACAGGTTCCTTGGGGGCGGCGCCGTCGGTAGACCTGGCGAGGGTGGTCTGGCCCGACGGGTCAAACGACAGACGCAGGCGACCGTGGAGTCGCCGTATACCAGGCCGCGACCATCGTCACGACTCTGTCCCCCGTGCCGGGGGGGGGGGGGGCACTCAAAG